TCCGCTCTCCACGCATTAAGTGATAGCTACATCTCATAGGCAGGGCAGTGACTGGAGGGATGTTGTTGTATACACTCCAGAACATCTGCGAACAGAAAAGCAGATAAGTGACGCTACATGTTGAAATGAGTTGCTTTTCTTTCTTAAAGCTCCAGGAGAATGTTACTATTCTATGAAACAATAGCAGAATTTCACCTGCTATTCACCCAGTTTGTGTTCGGTTTATTTACGACACTAAATTGAAAATGGCCGCACAGCAAGCCTGTTTCCCTTTTATGTTTACAAACATTAAGGATGTAAACAAAACTTAAACACCACTGCAAAATATTACTTACTTAGGTTTCACTGTTGTATTACCTCCACCTTTCTATTTAAACAGGAATCCATTTATGGACAGGTAGCAGGCTTCAATCCTGTGCGCTGGAATCTGGTGATGATGTGACAAACCTTTTGCTTGGTCTACTTTTGTTTACATGCTGAAAGTACCCACGATAATTATACTCTGAAGCCATCGGAGCATCGTAACAAGCGGCGGCAGTGTATGTACTGCATCAAACAGTGTGTAGCAGACCCGCAGATCAGAGGCGACTGACATTCTTGCCACACAACAATATCTTATTCAACACGTTTGCAAAAACAATAGCAACAATAGTATGAACATTTTCAATTTTATTTATCTAATTTGGTGTAGATAAACCGCTCACCACATGTTCATGTGTCATGATCAAATGGGTGGATTATCTCCCCACCATTTGTGCCTACTGTCGCTTTGATTGCCAATGACCTGCTTATTCCCTTGCATCAAAGGAGCTCTTCTCAAAGGAATTAGACTCTTTAGCCAAGTCATGCACTTGATCTCTTTGCTCTTAAGATGATGACGCTCTTTAAACTGACACCAAATCTCACCTGAACAGTTTGCACAGTGTAGATCTTCTTCAGATTGGATTCACATTCTGCAGCCGTCGTGCCGGGTAAAGACCTAGACCAACAAGTGAAAGCGGTTTAGATAGTAATGATAGGGAGACAGAACAAACCCTGTGCTGCTCTCTCACACACACACACACACACACACACACACACACACACACACACACAGGAGAGTCAGGGTTCATGTTTTGTTATGTTTGTTTTGGGGGGGGTCAGCCAGTCTATTTAAATGATTGTTGACAACCTTTAGAAGGGAGTTGTAAAGAGAGATTTAGCACAAATCATACCTGCATAATATTCATGTAGCGTAGTCAATATAGATTATGTGGTACCTTCACATTTGAGAAGCTGGTTCCAGATAATAGTTGTCTTGGTTGCTTGATAATAAAAAATTTAAAAAATGTGTGATGATTTAAACAGTTTCTAAACTGTTTTTCAGTTGATCGACCAATAGGTGAGTCAGTCTTAATAGGCTCTGTGGTCTGGGGATTTTTGAGTCTTTTGAAAAGTTTTAATTCATTATTTCATTAATATCTCACTGCTTCCAGCACGTCGAGCATAACGTTGGAAGATGACTAATCGAGCCTCGGCGTCGTCCAAACTTTGGGAACCTTTGCCCCAAGGAAAACGATAAAACAAAGCATACGTGACCAGCGGCATTCCTCATAAGAAATATCAAGTCAAGAGACACCGAGCACCACCACTCTTACTTTGATAGGAAAGTGTCCCAAGCAAATGCAACTGTTGCAATGTATTACAGTCTCGCTACATATTTGGTTTACTGGAAAAGGTTCTTCTGCAGGAGGCCTGCGGAAAACTGTGGCCTTGAATTATACCCCCCCCCCCCCTACACACACCCTCATTTCTGTTCGTCCTGGGCTCTAAACTCGCAGACAACGCGGAAGAGGGGACAAATGTTACCTGTCCAGCCAAAACGTCCAAGGTGAGTGCAAAGGCAGCGTTGACGTATCTTCTTCTCGCTGTTTCTTTGTGATTTTTTCCAACTCTTTCTCGTCGATGTCAATGTTGTTTTCGGGGGAAACTGTCTGGCCGCTCAGGGCGCCCCTGTCCATCGGTAGATCTGTCTGACCTACAGGAACCGCCATTTCAGCACGAACAAAACTAATCTTTTCCAACCCCCTGAATGTATCTCCTTCACAAAAACACCCGGTTTGGCTTTATCTCCTGGTACAGAAACACACCGCCGCTTTTCCGCCTACTGACTGGTGACGTACCTGCGTCACTGGGCAGAAACGTCGCAGTCGGTCCATCCCAGAGAGCGGGAAAAAGAGGTGAGGGCTCACTCTGCTTGTTTTTCGGGTAGCACAAACTGACCTGAATCACAAATCCCCCACCAGCCCATTTCATGGCAGGAGACTGGATAAATTGTTCTACAGAAATATGGTCAAATATATTATTATGACCAGGTTTGAAAATTGAGGTCCCCACATGTTTTTTACTGTGCTATGCACTTGTATAGCGCAATATCAACCTGATCGGTGCCTATATTAGAGCTTTACCAAAAACTGGCCATCAGTGCTCATTACAGATTTGTGAATCGATGTAATTTACATTATGTCAACCAGAGTGCATGGACAAGTTTATTAGCAGCATCCTCAATAAACCACTGTCAGTTGTACTATTGATATTGCCTGTTTTTGGTCCAGTTGATTATATTATTCCACACCTACTTCATACCTTTATGCTATATATAGTGTGACCTCCAGAAGCAATATTCCCCCCTTTCTTTGAGAAATGACTTTTGCAGTAGTATGTGTCTTGACCAGGGGTCTACTGTCTTTTATCTATTGTACTAGATATTGTACATTTATTAATTTGGTTGTTTTTGGTTGTCTTCAACTCTTGTTTGTTTTTTTTCTATTGGCACCACTAAGAGAGAGGAACTTGGGTAGTCGAGGCCTTTTTAAATACAGTCTATGGTCGAGGCCCAGAGCCTATACATTTCATGGGATAGACATTTGTTAAATGGGTCTGGGAACATGCTTGCTAAGTACTCACTGCACTGCTGAACTATTATATTGAGGTAGTAAAAATCCAAAAATCAGCACAAATAGAGAAATATTCTTACTGAATGTTTTTACTACTTTAATATGATAGTTAAGAAGTGCAGTGAATGCTAGCCTGTCTCATCCAGGAAAGAGTGAGTGATTTTATCGAGTGTTGCATGATGTCATTACAGGGCCTGACTATCAGGGCCTGATCAAAGATATTGTTTTAGTTCACTTTGGTGAAAGTACTTAACAAGAGCTTTGCTGGTGGAGCCCCATTTCCAGGGAGACCTGTCTCTTTCAGCTTAACACATTTAAGCAGGCCTAACAATGCAATGACTCAAATATAAGCATATTTATATATATATATATATATACACATATATAATTTGTCTACAACAGCCCATTTAATAGCTGGAACCATATGATTGATCCAGTGGTGTTACTGGGATTTAGAACTTCTTTCTTTAATTATTCCTCTGGACTTGATTGGATCAGGCTCCGGTGTGGTCACAGAGTCATATGAAAACCTGGCCAGGCTTGGAATGGAAAGCCCAGGCATTACAATATGGGTTGTGGTCAGTTGTGGTTTCATTTTTGGTCCTGATATGAGTGTTAATTCTCCTGACCAGGCCAATTTGTCTGTAAAACAGCAATGAGAGCTAACCTGCCTAATTTATTATACTGTATTCTCATGATGATCCTTGGAGCTGGCTGTAGGGGGTGCTGGTGAATCACTGCAGCAGCAGGTGCAGCCTTGAAGAATCTATCATCAAGAATCTATTATTCTTTAACATAATAACATAACCTATTCTAGATAATTTGGTACTGTTTTTAGTTTATCCTAAAAAGTCACATTGCAGTGCTTTAGAATGCAAAAGGTCTCTTTGGCTGTTTTCAAGCCACTTGTAAAGTCCTCTGCCATTTCTCCTTATTCAACAAGTTACCATATTTAAAACTACACTGTTAGCTCTATCTGTGTCATCCTTCAGTCTCTCGTGTCAGCTATAACTGTTAAGAGAAGATAAAAAATGTATTATTGCCCCGTAGTGGGAATTCACGTTGAAGCATGCAGCACAGAGGAACGTAAAAGAACAGATACAATAAAAGTAGAATCAGTAACATTATATGTAGATGTATAAATATACACACACTACAATCATTATACAATTAACATTCTACGTAGACATTTAAATATTTAAACTCTGTATACACACTATGTAGGCCTACAATCAATAAAGGATAATAACTATCAGATATAGTCAAAAATATAATCAGTTGTGGAGGCTGATAGCTGATGGCACAAATGAGCCCCCTAAGCGCATTTACATTTTATTCTAAATAGTATGTGTGTTGACTTTGGGAGAGCTTAAGTGGCATATCAGTTCATTACCATTTAATTATTCCTTTTATAAAGTTCCAACAAACTAGCAACTAAACAACTCAGGGACCGTTAGGTTGACTTATATAACCACATGACATTATGTAGCCTAGGCCATACAGGCATGAATCATTGTAATGAACGGCTGATGCCCCTTGTAACTACTGACTGTCAGTTAAGTATAAGCCTACCTTACATCTTACAGAGAAATAAAAAATACTTCTCTAAAAAAATCTCCATTTCACTGATCATCTTTTAGAGTGAAACACTATGAGTTACATTGCATGTAGTGTGTTGCATAAAGGCACAATGACCATGAATCATGTATCTGTTCAGAAGTTCAGTAGGCCTATTTGATTTTTATCTTTTACGACTATCTTGTCTTTATTTTTGTCTTTCAATAAACTAATTTTATTGAATAGATGTTAACACATAAATAGTATGGGCTGTCTGTGCTGTGTGTTTCAAAATGTTTGTCTTTCAATAATGAAGACTATAAGCTGACATTAATGGACAATTAAGTGTGCTTGACTCTTTTATAATACTCATATGATCATTATATAATATGTAGGCCATCAATAGAGTATTTTCCTAAAAATGTATGATCAACGTTGTTTTTTATAACCTGCACATCAAATAGCCTAGGCTATTGTGCATGAGGACATCTCTGTCGATCTGTCATCATTTGCACGGAGGCAGACGTCCTGTGATTGCAATAGACAAGGACCAGCAGATGAGACTCCTGACTGATTCCAGGCCTGCTTTCTACATGCAAGCGGACGTGCGTCGCATACGCTAGACGCTGCTGTGTGAGATGCACCCATAGACCCATACTGGCGCTCCCACCTCTGCGAGCTTCAGACCTCCACGCAGCTTTTCCAAACATGTTCGCTTTTGTAGCCTAGGCTATATATAACTAATGTTTTAGCGGTCGTCGGTGAGGCTGTGGATGCGTAATTGCGCCATGCTTCCGCTGTCACGCTGTCAGTTTTTTAATTCCTCGAGACGAACGGGAGACCTCCGCCATCAGTGGAAATTGAGATGTGTTTTCTGAGTCGCTTGTCTGCTGAACGGATGCCTTCCGAGATGGTGTGCAAACCTAAACCGGGCTGCCTCCACAGAACCACAGACAGGGGTGCTTTTTGTACCGGACTCTTGTGAGATGAAGGACAAGAAGAAAAAGAAGAAATATTGAATGCTTTTTGTTTGTTTTTGGTGGGGATCAGAGCACATGGATGTGAACCGACGTTGAACGGATGCTCCTGAGTGGAATTTATCCCTGAGTGTTTTTTCTGTTAAAGTGGCGGCGGATCGCGTTGATTTTGTTTTCCTTTCAGCCTTGGCAGGATCCAACCGCTCGTCGATGAATTGATGTGGGAATACACGCTACCTCGGCTGCATAGATGGCAAACGCAAGTGAGTTTGCGGGGAGCAGCCCGTCCTTACAGAACTATGCGTCCACGGCCTCTGCGGTCAAGCTGGCCTCCCTGGGTCTGATCATGGGCATCAGCCTGCTGGGCAACGCGTCGCTGTCGCTGCTGCTGCTGAAGGACAGCTCGCTGCACAAGGCTCCCTACTATTTCCTCCTGGACCTGTGCCTGGCAGACGTGGTCCGCTCCGCCGTGTGTTTCCCCTTCGTGATGGCATCCATCAGCGGCGGCTCCGCGTGGCCCTACAGCGCGCTCAGCTGCAAGATCGTCGCCTTCATGTCGGTGCTCTTCTGCTTCCACGTCGCCTTCCTGCTCTTCTGCGTCAGCGTCACCCGGTACATGGCGATCGCCCACCACCGGTTCTACTACAAGCGGATGAATCTGTGTACGTGCGTGGCGGTCATCTGCATGGTGTGGACACTCTCCGTGGCCATGGCTTTCCCACCGGTTTTCGACGTGGGCACCTACAAATTCATCCGTGAGGAGGAGCAGTGCATCTTCGAGCACCGCTACGTGAAGGCGAACGACACCCTGGGCTTCATGTTGATGCTGGCCGTCATCGTGGGCACGACCCATGTGGTTTACATAAAGATGCTGTGCTTCGTCTACGACCATCGCAAGATGAAGCCGGCTCAGCTGGTCCCTGCCATCAGCCAGAACTGGACCTTCCACGGGCCCGGAGCCACCGGACAGGCCGCGGCCAACTGGATCGCGGGCTTCGGCCGCGGACCCACCCCGCCGACGCTGGTGGGCATCAGGCAGGCGTCGCACCTCGGCAACAGGAGGTTGCTGGTGCTGGACGAGTTTAAGATGGAGAAACGGATCGGGAAGATGTACTACATGATCACACTGACCTTCCTCATTATGTGGGCTCCTTACATAAGCGCCTGCTATCTGAGAATATTTGTGCGCGGAGCTCCGGTCCCGCAGCTGCACCTGACCGCTGCGGTGTGGCTGAGCTTCGCCCAGGCGGGAGCGAACCCCATCATCAGCTTCATGTTTAACAAGGAGCTCCGGATGCGACTGAGAGCCTGTTTCCCCTGCTGCCTGGGAACACAGACACCCATGGAGCCATACTGTGTCATCTGAACCGCAGTGGCCCCCCAGAATACTGCCAAAGATACATTACATCTTAATTCAGAATGTAGGCCTACACAGACTGGTCCCCAAAATGTGTTTGTACCCCGAGACACGCGTGCTGTGGAAGGTGAACCCACTTCAGTACAATGTACACACATTTTTATTTGTGACAAAGGTTTTACCCATTATTTTAATTTGACAGAAACTTGAATATGATGTAAAGTCATGTTATATTTAGATGTTATTAGAATCAGATCAATAGACCAACCTATATGAATCATGTTAGGCGTAAGGGATAGAAGCATAAAGTGATGCTTTTATAGAAATATAATGTGTTTGAGGTTGTCTAAGTGGGCATCATGGTTAAGCCACCTTTTAATTTACACCTCTGCATGTAGGCCTACTGTAGGAGACATTCATTCCAAATAGGGTATGGCCTCTATCAGTTATGTCCTATATTTGGAGACATTTCTTATGTCCTATGGAGTGTCAACCTTTTTGGTCCACTACAATATTGTACATGAATGTCACTTGGGCTATTTGTTTGTATATTTTGAAATTGTATCCCAGCACACCCATTTGAGGTTGTTTACCTTTTGCAGTACTGATGCCTGAAACACAACAGAACTATATTTAGAGTCAGTGTCTCTAGCATCTATGACACACTTGGTTTCTAATTGTTTGGATACCACAAATGAGACACAGATCTCAGTATATTTTTAATGAGGACAATGTCACATTTGTAAATACTGTAAAGCCCTTTTCCCCTTTTCCTTCTGCTTTTTGTAACCAGACATGTTGTATAATTTATAATGTCTTAGGATTCTATGTGTTGAAAAGGTGTTGAAACTTTAAAGGTGTTTTGGAAATTCATATTCATGGGTCACTTGGGCTGTGCAATGGATGGATTTACATTGCCTGCAGGATATACAGATATTCTTTTTCTAATGATATGGACATTGGGACTCTGAAAATGTTAACAGTTTGGTTCTTTGGAAAAGATGTTTGCATTGTTTGTATTTCTTAGCAAATAAATAAGATAATGGATGATAAGTGGTTTGGACTCTAATCTGTTTTAAACAAGATGTCTTTTCTTGATCTGGTTCTGCTCCTGAAAGCATCTCATGTTATGTCTTTAAATGAAATTGCATGCTGGCTTGCCCTCACCCTGTCTTATGTACTCTGTTTTAGTCTTTAGAACAGGTCTATTTCCCAAAAAGCAACTGGATAGCTAGTCTTGCCCACTTCTTTCAAACCCCACACTTACGGTTTATAATGCTCAAAGTCTCAAGATAACCCAGATGACATCATCAGGGTTATTTTCAGACTTTAGAAATCTCAACCTAGAGTCACAAAAGACATTATACATCTGTTTTCAAGAACCTAAAATGACTCCTTGTGACGAGTAAACAGAACTTCATGTGCAACATTTGTGGCATGCATCTTTTATAACCGGAGCGCAGATACATTCTACAATTTAAAAAAAGCATGTGGTGTATTTTAGGCTGATCCCAGTATTTTTAGACTCATTCTATTTAAAGGGTAATTTTCTACATTTTCTCTACCTATTTTCCCCTTGCTTTTGTATCTATGTGACTAATGGGGACAATGCTTTTTAAAATTTGTCCAGTATTGATGGAACGTGCTGCCGTCAGCAGCAGTGAAACAAGGCTACAACATCCTTGTGGGAAATTGCCCACTGTCAAAGTATGTCCACGAAAGTGCTTGTTTTTGCCACTGACAGGTTCGGATTGTTATTGTAAGTGTCTGACAACATGATGGAAAGGATCCATACAGAGATAGACCTTTTTTAAGAATGCATTCCTTTTTGTTTAACCAGAAACGGCTGCTAAATTGCTCTATTCAAACCCACCAGACTCCTTTGACAAAAACAGTAATTTTACCTCTCTGGTCTACTGTTGCCTCGATCAGTTTGTTTGTGTTATTGTGCGACTTTGGTGTTTTTAACCATTTAAAAAAACAAGGTCATACAACAACACAAACAAACTAAACAGCAGTAGACCAACAACTCCGGTGTTCTGCGGGGTAAAACTGCTGTTTTACAGACTTGGAGGCATCCAACAGCGCAATATAGTGACTGGTTTTCCGGTTAAACAAATAGGATCTTACTCTTTAAAAGAATGTCTACCTCTTTATTGATCCTTTCCATAATGTTGTCAGTATAATAACAATGTGAGCCTGTCAGTGGCAAAAACAAGCGTTTTAGCAGATGTACTTTAACTGGGCACAGGTGCCCTTAGGCTGCTGCCAACTGCAGTGTGCCTCCTCAATACTGGACCAATTTCAAAATAAGTCACATAAACATAAAAACATGGGAAAATAGGTTCCAGGTTAAAAAATGCAGGACACCTCAACATGCATACTATAAAATATAAAATAGAATTTAACAGCATAACAAATCGTCTGTACCTGCTTAAGGTTAGAGGTTTAATTTTTATTACTTTATTACATATTCATTGTTTTAAACAGAGCACTAAATTAGCACCTAGTTAATTAGATTTGTTTCAATAGGCAATAGGCCTCCTCTCTCCTTTGGCCTGTAGCAGGCTATTGATTCGGCTAATAGCTGTTCGTTGACATTGGCCTCGATTACACCAAACCACAGCTTTAAAAGGTTGAGTAGTTCTCTCGGTACACACTTTAATCACTTTGAGGTGTTTCTGAGCTTCAGCCCCTCCGTCACTCTGATCTGCCATACAACAAACGAGCTCCTCCACACACTATCCACCCTCAGTGCATCCATAACCATTAGCATCACAACATGCCTGCTTGTTCCTGACAGCTGGCTGTGCTCTGCTACCAGTGTGCTGAGGTCTCATGGTGTAATTGCTGTGGTGGCTCCCCAGCTGCAGGAAGCTCCTCGCCTGTACATGCTCTCGTGCAATGCAAATGCAGGTCGGGTATTTTTGGTACATCGTGTTGTCTTTAGGGCACGTAGGCTCCGTTGTGAAGCTGGAGAAATGTGACTCTTTTTTTCACGGCTTTTACTGTTGGTAATGTTGCTCTTCTATTGTCTTTTTAATCAATGAGCAACTATGATGACCTCTGTCTTTTTCACTGAGATTTCCTAATGTACAATTTGGGCAGCTGGGTCCAGTATTCAAAAGATTCGGAGCTGTTGTTAACTTGAGTACTCCCTCAATTTAGTGTTGCATTCCTCTTATATATCTTTTTTATTCCATGCATTCTTCCTTCTTGTCAAAACTTGGCAACTCTTAACTGGCAACAGTTCAGTCAAAGATTTGGGTGTGTTATATTAGTAGCGGCTAATGCAGCCTTGAGCCACTAGCCTTGACTGGACATGAGGAGTGGACCAGCGAGGTCTGGTGAGCTCACTTCTTTCACTTGAGGCAGCCACAAGGCTTTACACACCTTTTGTCTATTAATTGATCAATGAATTGACTTACTGTTTCAGAGTCACAGCTTTTCCAAGGCTTCACGATTCATCTTGATAGTCTTATTTCATATTTTGCACGTTGTTACACTTCTATAGTAAATTAGAACAAACTCTGTCTGGAGTTATTGAGATATTTCCATTATCTGTTCCCGGTGACTTTGTATCTCCTTATGTACTCTAGTTTTCATACTTGCATTACATGAGGCATTGCCTAATCACAGATTAAGGTTAAGGTTTGAATGCTCTCATGTCTATAGCCACAGAAGACCAACATCCGTTTATAAGAATGAGATTGATGGGGCTCATTGCTTTACACATTGGATAAAACTAATTATAGCTTTGAGCCTTGAACAAACACTGCGAATCATAGCTTGACAGTGATTCAGCTGTCTTAGTGTTTCCTGGTGTTATAAAGGCCCGCTGCAAAGGTGAGTCTTAGAAAAGGCCTGTCTCTCCTTGTCTTTTAACCCCAATTAAAACTACTGTACTTAAGAAAAGTTTAGGAAAACAATTAAGCATGCATATACACTGTCACATGTGGATTTATTATTTATGAATGGAAATTGAAACTCAACTTGCACATCTCGCTCAGCGTGTCATTTTTTACAAGTGAAATCATCTGTGTTTCTCCTCATGTTTCCCTAGAGGGCAGCTGGAAGCTCACTCAGCTGCTGCAGAGTACTGGGTGACATGCAGCACTATAACCCCACGTAACACAGCCCATGTCTCAATTTAAATTAGATTATTCTCATTGCCAAACACAAATAAGCCTTATTGCCAGAGGTAAAAGAACATTCCAGTTGTGCATGTTTAGGTAGAAACTACAGCATATGGTGCAGTCTTGTAATATTTGCAAAAGCACACTCATCAGTGATAGCAGGGAACAGTCACCTATCCCCACCTGGTATCATGTTAAATATTTTATTGGCTCTAAAATTTAAGAGTGTACAGACCAGCAATTTGATTTTCCTTAAATATATCATATGACTCAAACTGAAACAAAATGATAATGCATTATTAAATATATATCTTTATTCAAAATTAAAAAAAACAGGCTGTTAAAAGCAGATAGTTACAGTGCAGGTAGCACATAGTGTAACTGCACTACTCCTCAGAGGTAGTTGTCTGGATATTTGTATGGTGAGAGACATTTGGATCTCCCCTCCTCTATGGTGATACATGACAGGTTGGGTAGGCAGGGGCAAGTATGGTGGAGTCTTTTCCCAAAGAAAGGAACCTGGAAGCAAAAAGGAAGACACCTTTAGTTTGGGATTCATTCCAATTCCCCCAGGCATTATAGATGTTTTTTTTTTCTTGTGTGAATTTTGAAGGCGAGACTCTTGATGCTCTGAAAGTGTTCACTAAATCCTCTGCTCCATCGCTGTTACAGAGAGGATGTTGAGGATGAGCTCATTTACTTTATGAACTGTATCATCTCTGCCATGACACCACTGCATGGAGGGCAATGAACGATGTGTGACACTTCACAGATGAGGCGAGAGGACCTCTGTAGATGATCTCACCTTGTGGCTCATAGGATGACACTCGTCTCCTTCCTGTCCCATGGGCGTGCACATACGCAGGCTGCGGATCCACAAACTCACCGCACAACACATACCTCCTCCACACTGAGAGTCCCGCTCACAGGCCTACACACACAACAACACCAACACACACACACAAGTTTAGATGCTCCGATGTAATTAAGCATATTAATGACTTACGTCGACCAATAGAATGATTAGTTTTATGGACATGAAGTAGCTAAACATTTCAATCTTAATGTAATAACAATTTCCAGTTTCTTATTATTAACTTTATTATATTCTGTTAATATCAGCTTTATATTATGAGACCATTTCAGTTTCAGGTTTGAAATTTGTTACAAATATAAAAATGTAGTCCACGGTTCACTGGTGTAACTGCTGCTATGTCAAATCAAAGGAAAGATGTAATCGGTAATTATATAATTCATGATTATATGTAATGCTATGTAATGTCATTAAACACAATTATGTGATCATTTTTATACTAACAGGAAAGACAGGTACGGTGGAAGTGAGCTATTCCGAATGTGTAAGCAGTAGAAGTGCAATACACACTGCAAACTGGTGTTACCAGAACAGTATATTATGCTAATAGAAGTGTTATTACACCAGTAGTCATATAATACTTCAACAAAACACTGCAGGATTTATTGCTTTGAGTGTCTGAATGAGAAGCTGAGTGACAGCTCTCACTTTGGATGAGATGAAGAGAACGCAATGAAGAGGAACAGAAGTGATTTCATGTGACAGACGTGGATGAAAATCACTTTGGGTTTTATGGCTGCATGCTCCTCTCTCTGCTTGCATCAGCAACACAGTGTGAGGGGGTTCTTGTGACAGGGATAGGTGTTTTATTAGCAGGTAATGGCCCTTATTTATGCTCGTGGAATTATGTGAATCCTGACTTGGATAGGGAAATAATTCAAAGATAAGTTTGCAACTTGACTGGTCGGATTTTAGTGTATGTATTTATGGATAAACTGATTGATACGCTGCACTTCATGATGTCATTTTACATTCTGATTGCCCTTCATGCATAGAAACCCCAAATGGTAGACTGTATGTTTGGCATCTCTGACTGGATTAATTTGACATAAATTAAAAAAAAATCTCATTTGAATAATTAAAATATACATATTTCTACATTATACTGGATAATGATTTATTTTCAGTACAAGATACTTTACATTTTTCCTTGGCTAAAAAAGCACAGCAAAATTCAAATACTTTCCACAATTATTTGGAGGAGGGGGTTACAATTAAAGGATGAATGGTACAAGGCTTCGGTCTAAGCATAAATAAGACATGACATAAGCACACAGTCAGTATTTTTCCTGAAGCATCACTTAATGTACCTTTTTTGTTCTTTCCTGTAATATTCCCATTTGTTTCTGTTTCTAGTGTGTTGAAGAGTTTAATTTCATAGTAGTGTATCCTCCATTTGAATTTAAAAAGTGATCTTGATGGTATAACTAATGCTAAGGTTTTGCTTTTTAGACCAAGGAAAATATTCAGCAGCTCACATCAGGCAACATTTCTTTTATGAAAATAGTAGTTTGACAAGAAAGTACTTATTCTGCATATTCCCATCACACCGAAAGCTTTCCAGTACCCTGTAAGGTATCTTCTTGTTTGCTCACACTTACCCCTGTGATGACTGCTGAAGATCCATGGGACACCAACAACAGGGAGAAGAGAAGTAGGAAGAAGGACCTCATCATCAAGAGTCTTTGTGCTCCCGTGCCCTCCGGGATGAAACGTAAGGATGCTGAGGCTGCCAGACCTTGCTGCATGTGCCTATGTGACAGACCGGAGAGACAAGTGGCCTCTAAACTCCTGTGTTGAGGGCTGGCGGAGGTTTATAAACCCAGCCTGCCATTCAGAAACTCTGTGACTCACTCACACTAGTATCGCCTCAAAGAAAAAAAAAAGACCAAGGTAAAGTTTAACATTACAATGCCCCTGCATTTCATTTTTCTGACAATGCTTGTTTCCTTTATGATGAATTACCATTTTCATACTAAAAACAAAGCTTATTTTACACTCAGATGTGCAAAAGATGGTCAAAATAATTGTAGACATAATCACTGTGGCATTCTGTTACATTCCATGCATCTTTTTTCCCCTCTTCACCTTTTCACACAACAAGGCCACAGTTTTTAAAATATCCTTGTAAACCCACTCTTGAGAGAGCTCACAATGAAAGCAACTTTATTTCATGGATGTGAATTTCTGTGGCCACTGCACTTGTGAAAATATGCGTATTATCTCAAACTGTGGTTTCTGATTGTTTTAAGTTCCAACAATGGCCATTTGCTAGAGAAACTATACATGGAGAGAAGATGTATCAGAATCTTATTGTCATAAGAGATACACTCGCCTATATGAGCCCATTATACTGTAAAATGTTGATTCCAAGTTATTTCAACAAAGCCATTCATTATAATCCAATTATATTAAATCTCAGGATGTTAATTTTATATAATTGCAGGTAGAAAGTCTTTGCCACCCTCAATTGGTTTTAATAGGTGTTTAACAGTTGTCACACTTTTAAGGAGATTCACTGTACAACTTTTCAAACAACCACATTTGTAGGTTTTTCAGATGAGGCATGTCAGATTTAAAGGTTCAGTGTGTTAGCTTTAGTGGCATTTAGAGGTGAGGGTTGCGAATTGCAACCAGTGGCTCATGTTGCATTCATGTGCTCCTCAGATGGTCCCATTTCCTGTGTTCATGTGCTCTTAAGTCCAAATGTGGAATCAACATGGACTTAACTACAAAGATGTGTTGGATTAGCATTATCAAAGCGCAGAGATCTAGTTCACTCTATATATTATAATTAACCGTTACAACCATATTACAAAGGACATGTTTGCAGGATATGTAAAACCCAACGAGGGTTAAAATGAAGGGCAACTGGACTTGGTTGAAGCTACTGGAAGACGTTTCGTCCCTTATCCAAAGGACTTCTTCAGTTCAGAGAAGCACTTCTTCAGTTCAGAGAACTGAAGAAGCCTCAACCAAGCCTCAACCAAGCCTCAACCAAGTCCAGTTGCCCTTCATTTTAACCCTCGTTGGATAACTATGACCTGGATGACTGAGAATCTTCATAGACGATATGTAAAACATAATTTTGCACAAATCAAAGTTCATGTACACTTTATTTCTCTTTTTGCAATAAAGATTTAAGAAGGAAAACAGATTCCAAGTCCAAGCGAGCAGGAGAAGCTGTGGTGGCTGACACTCTGTTGTGCTAAATAATATATGCAGTCCATTTGACCTAATTTCTCTTCTTTTCTTACTTTTAATAAAGCAGTCGACTACTACTATTACTAACGTTACTTGTCGTTGTTGTTGTCCTTCTTCTTCTTACATATTCAACGTAGTGACGAAACACGCTCCGTTGCACCACTTGTCCATTTGGGCTACTGTAGAAACATGGCGGTGCAAGATGGCTACATCCATGTAATAGATAGATAGATAGATAGATAGATAGATAGATAGACATGGCTCATTCTAAGGTAATAAAAATGGCTCATTCTAAGGTAATAAAAACGGTTATGTAAAGTCTTTATACACCACTGAAAACATGGATATTATATTGCATTTCTGTCGATAGATCCTCCTAAATATTACACACTGAACCTTTAATGTTAGACATTTAAAAGGTGATAAGTGGCAAAAGAAAAGTTCAAAACCTGACATAGAAAAACATTGCAAACAAATATGAGTGAGCAACCTGTAGACATCTCAGATTACTGTAGTGAAGTCACAAAGTAGTGCCATCGCCTGAAGTCAGTGTGTTTCAGAACATCGGCACCTCGTGTTGCCGACTGACATGGCCTATCAACGCGTCTGAGCTAAATCTGTCTTCATCACAGTTTGGCAGAGTGACACTGACAACTGAGTCACACATCAAGAATCCAGCTTGCCGTGACCCATAAATGCTCTATTTCATCTCAACAACTAGACTGAAATCATGGAAGGCAAGGAAAGTTGGGGCACATTTAAGATCATCAGGAAGTTGGTTACGTCTGTGTGTAGCATCTTCACATTGTTCAGTTTTGGCAAGAAATTCTGGTAGTTCCTAAAGATCTAAGGGACCTACTAGGGTTATACTCTTTAAGCAGATCAGAAATGTATTTTGTTACACAACTGGTGATTTACAAACCAACAACAGCACTTAAAAATCTATTCTATAACTTACAGGAAGTCAGAGTAAAGATTGACATATGATCTGAACACACAATGTCAAATACTACCCTAAGATCGAGCAGCACCAAAATTATGTTTTATCTGAATCAGTATTCAGACAAACGTAATTTACAGTAATTACCAGAGATGTGGAATTGTGTCACATGACTCAGACTCGGATCAGACTTGTGTTACAAATATGATGATTTTTACGGAAGCCCTAAGCAGCCATCCATTCCGTTTTTACTCTGTTTTCCCGTAAAAACGGGATAATTATCTTGTGATCCCGAGATAATGACTGTTGTTTTCCCATGATAATCATTTTCTCATGATCTTGAGATAATAAACCATAACTGTATGTGTTACAACAACAATGATGGCGGCGCCCTGCTCGGCCGCGGCTGCAATGGCTCCTGAGAACATTGGACATTTAGTGGCAAATAAGGCATCTACTAGTACTGCTAGTTTAGCAGTGAAATTCAGTGTAATATATATTTTTATTCTATTTTATATTGCATATACTTATATTTATACTGTTTGTCTTTTACTTGTCTTCTGTTTTTTTATTCAGAGCCTTGCAACAAAATCTCACTCAAATGTACATGCTGAAGGTGCAGTTGAATGAATAAAAAAAGTCTGTCTAAGTCTAAGTCTAAAGTCAGTCAGTGTGTTTTGTATTTATGTGAAACAAACAAACAAATAAATAAAACATTCAGCTGTTTGCCAGCTAAATCACGAGGACAAATCACTTTTGCAAATTGAAACAACTAAAGATTATTTCCACAGTAAAACATAGAATTATGCTTCTTCACCCCAAATGAAATGCCTGTGTACTCAATGCGCATGAACATGTGCTTTGGGGGAGTGGCTTGGAAGGAGGCCTGAAGGGAGGGGGTGGGATTTTTTCATTTGGATACATTCTAGCCGTCTCTTGCTAGTTCTCCAATGTTTCCTACCCTAGCTTTAAGTAATAAGAGACCTAGAGTGGAACAGTCCTTTGTGGTGTTTTTTAATCTTTAAGGACAGTGGGGTTGATGGAGGTGAGAGGGGTTGGGGGGCACAAAGAAAGCATCAAGACGGGAGTTTTTTGCAACCTGAAAGAATGGCTTGACATCCTCGGTTTCTCAGTGTGCCAACAGAGAATACTGGCACCCCTTTTAGCAGCGAGTTGTTTTCTTTCTAATGGTTATGAGCTGATGAAGAAAGAGAGGCAAGACGGAGCGCATACATCCTTGACAAAATACATTTCCATGGGCAGCTGACCCAGCAGAGTGCAGGAAGATGAATGTAGTTTACCCATGGAAATAGAGAGACATGTTGGATTTCACTTTTACTACAGTCAGAGCTGCCGTCACTCCATTCACTCATCCTCTGATTCTATCCGTCGCCAATGTCATTTGCTCCACATCCATAAACATGTGAGAGGATGCCACTAGATTATGCTGTGGTGGCGAACATCAGATTCTTTCTGCCAGGGCATGTCATCAGAGGATCAGCCCCTTGGATGACATAATGTCGCCGCTGTTGCCGCATCGTGTTCCCAGCGGACCTCCTCCCTTATTTTGTGCCATACAACATGCCAGCAACCCTCGTTTACATATAATCAGCTGTTTTCTCTCTCTCTCTCTCTCTGCATGACCCTCTTTTACAAGGTTTCATCTTGGCTGAATCCGGGGTAATGTTGGGCCCCCACCGGCTGGGACAATCCCCAAGAAGAGATTAGGGAGAAGCATTGTTGTGCATGTTCTCTATGCCTTTTTTTTTTAGTGTGTTAACATACATAAAGGAAATTATATGCAAAAGGGAGAAGAAAAACACACCCACACGGGGCTTATAAGGCAAGCCAGAGTGATGAATTATAAATTCCTTTCCTTTCAGAAGTAGCCCTGCCATGCCACTTCACAATCTTCATGGAAAATCAACATTCTATCAAAGCAGCTCAGAGGGCACCTCACCTTGCACTCCACTTTTCAGTCTTTCATACAGTAGCAGTTTTTATAAAACAAAGCCCACTGCTGATGGAGAAAGTCAAAAGGGCCGACAAATGCAGGGAGAGAGAAAAAGAAAGAGGAAGCAAGCCGCTGTGTTTGGAGCAGAGGTGTATATGCGTGCTTGTGTGGGAATATTAGAACTGAAGGCAAAGAGAGCAGATTCAAGTAGGCTAGTGAGTAAACACTAAAATAAAGGTGGAGAATAGAATTAAAATAGTTAAATAAAAAATAACCTAAGCTACTAGATATATATATATACCCTTACACTGATTATATATAAATAAATTGTTTTTACAGGACGACAGTGCATAAGATGAGGTTTTGTCACTTGCACATGTTTACTATGGTAATAATAATAATATGCCCAATAATAATAATGATAATAATACTAGTAACAATAATAATAAATACAAAGACATAAAGCATTTGGCCCATTTGGCAGCGGCCGGCCTGGTCCTGAGATGGGCTGACCAAATTGATTAGGTTATTAAAACTGGGACAAGAAGTCAAAATTAAACACCTCATCATCAGAGAGAGTGCAACAAAATCTGAAAGTCAGTAATGTTACTTTTATCAGAACACAAAACCATAATCCTTTCTACTTCTACCATTTTATTTATGTGTATTCCAATGTTGAGAGCAGTGTATGAGAAAACATTTTTTCTGCAATGTTAACATCCTCTGCTAGTACCAGTGCTGTGAGGTAGGATGCTACAGTAGGCCTAGCAGAGACGGGGAGGATGGTGGTAGAGGTAGGACGGAAACTGTGACACATAAATGTTAGATTTGTAATTAACTCTGCAGTAGAGAAAGACAACAGCAGTAACAGCAGACGAACAGACAGAGAGCACACAGACTCCACAATATACTCAGATGGACAGCCATCGTTTAAACTGTATGTTTAAATTTGGTATAAACGTGTGCTCTAAAAACTTTTGAGCACTGGGTGCTAGTAACATACATTAAATGTTTCAAATCTGTTACATAAGGAAGGCATTCTGCTTATATTATTTCAACATCTCTACACAAATGTGGCCTAAGTAGTGAATGTGTGCTCGTGCGTGCGCTACAGTGCCAGGGCTGAATTTTTGTCCCAATCCCCACCTGTACAATGGTATTCCGGCAGAGCATGAATGCTGTCCCTGGCTGTTGTAATAACAAGACTGGATGTACAAAAATAGAAGGACACGAGAACAGCTGCAAATTGTGCGTCTGGCAAGATCATTCTGAACCACTCATTCAAGGTGAGGAAGTTCAACATTGTCGCCATTTTATAAGAGATTTTGCATATGGGAGGTTTGCAAAACCAACTGTGAAACAGTTTCATCTTATATATCTCTATTGCTCTCTGATCATTTTAGATGCATAAGGGTTGTTCCCACATTAGGAGGCTGTGTCTCTGCTGGATCTCATGCCTCTTGTTGATATGAGCATGATTTCGTTCCCATTGAGATGTATTCATGACATCCACAA